CTGAAAATATCGACTCCATACTAATTTTTTTGTACCTCACCACTCTGTTTAGTGGTTTCAGGTTTAGGGTCACCCTGCATTTCCCCAAGGGTTTCACTCTTCTACAATTATGAGAATAAAACCCCCTCCCCTCTTGAGAAGGGACTAGAGCAATGACTTCCTGCTCCGACAGCCCCTGTAGAGATTCTCACTGCACCCGCTTTTGTCTGGGCCCTGGACACCGTAGTAATCAGAAACCTGGATGGGGGCGTTCTGTTAACTCTATTTTGTAACCTGACAGAGTGGGAGGAAGATTGAGGGAATTTCTTCCACTCTGGGAAACCCTGACGGACAAGTTTATTCGGGAACTCAGAGTAACTGGTCATTGTGATTTTAGTGCTTGTTGAGGGGGGGAGGGGTGTGTTAAAGAGAAATTGCCTTTGGTTTCGTTTCCCTTCTTAAAAGCCCAGCCTTGGATTGCTCCGGTTTCCTCCCCTTCCTGAAATTTTGGCCCTTTTCCACTGCTTTTGGGGAAGCGGAATACCTTTTTTTCCTATCAGCTGACCTATCCAAGACCGCTTCTAACGCCTGGCCAAAGAGCAATTCTCCCCTGAATGGCAGCCCACACAATTTGGATTTGGATGCCGCGTCTCCAGGCCACGTTTTTAGCCATAATGCTCTCCTGGAGGAGTCGATTAATGCTGTGGTTCTTGCAAAGTACCTGACCGACTCGGCCTAAGCATCAGCAATGTATGCTACTGCTTTGCTCAGCACTGGGAGGGACCCCAAAATGTGTTCGCTGATGGTGCCATTCTCCAGGTGTGCCAGCCACACACTTAAAGTTCTGGCTACGCAGGTAATGGCCAGTCCTGGTTTAAATCCAGCACTGGCCGCTTCCCATCCTTTCCTGAGCAAAGACTCAGATCTTTCAAAGCCCCCATGTTCTCAAAAGACAAATCCGAATGCTTGGAGATCTTTGAGAAAGAGGCATTCAGTTTGGGACATAACAATACCCGAATCCTCTTCTGCAAAGGGAAATCTCCGCTTATGACTGGATGAAAAGAAAATGATTTTCTCTGGGTGTTCCCATTCCGTTTGAATCAACTCAGAGAATTGTGGACTGGAAAAGTGCGCCTTTCCCTGGTCTGGAGCCCTTTGTACAACCTGTCATGGACAGAGCTCCGCTGACTCCTCTTTAATACCAAAAGTATTCCAAATAGCTTTTAACAATTCACCATCTCCAAGGAAGGAAATAGATAGATACTTAGCCAACTTAACTTGCTGTTCCTCCTCCTCTGATCTATCTGCTGCCTGGTCCACTGAATCTATCTAGGAATCTGAAGACTCACTGGGTACCTGCTTGCTGACAGCATAATCTACTGTGCTAACTTCCCCAGATGGCTCCGGGATGTTTGGGAGCCCTGAATTTGGTCCTACAGAATTCTGAATGATTGAAACGTAGAGACCATTTCTTCCCTCAGTCTATAATACCCTTAAACATTCCCACATATTCTTTGGTAACCAATTTCTCTAAACATCCTTTGCATAAGGGTTTGGGAAGACTACATCTTGTTGCTAGAGGAGCATTTTCGACCCTTTGAGCGGGAGCAACCGGCTTCAGCAAGGGGCTTTTCCTCCGAGGCCTTGACCTGGGCAAGACAAAAAGCATGTAATCAACCAGTGCCCCTCCGCATCCAGCATTGACCTGTCCTGTCTACACAGGCCCCCAATACAAGCAGGGTATAAGTAGGGGAGTTTCCCAAATAAAGATTTGCCTACCTTAGCGCCAGTGCCATGTTCTCCCAGATCTGGAAGGCAGCTTGAGATGCTGCATCAGAGGTCATCTCGCTTAATCTGCTGACCTTGCTTCTGGCACACTCCCGATGTCCCAGCCAACTGTATGTGGCCCATCAGCCTTAGGTGTGCAATGGTAGCCTTCTGTAGTTGAGCCAAGTGGTTTGCCACAGCTCTCCGAGTGTAAGAACTTACGTAGCATTCCCAGGCCTCTCGTGGTCCTATCCTTGGCTGTGTAATCTGTCAGCCAGAGTGAGCAGTCAGTGTGTCTCCTATGGTCTCTGGCTCCAGTGGCTGCTGCTCAGTACCTAGCCACCTGTGTAGACTTACTAGATCCTGTGTGAGCACACTGAACCACCTCCTAAAGAGACAGCGTGCATTTCTCCAAGCAAGTCTCTACAGTGGTCCGCCTCCAGTCGTGACATCAGCAGAGCACCAACCGGTATACATTCAATTCAATCTAAATCAGTCCGTGCTTGGTTATTGCAGAGCTTTGTCATTTGTAGTGTCTGACGTTATTATCCTGCTGCTTTCCTGTGTCTTGACCCTTGGCTTTGTTATCTGACCCTGATTCTTGGCTGCCTGTCCCGACTCCTGTTTCGATTACAAATTTGGATTATTTGGCTACGGTGTTCATGGACTTAACCTGTGCTGGTCATCACTGCGTAAGAGATTGTGCGTTTATACCAGTCTACTGGTAGAGGTACCTTTAGTACTGGTGAGTCTCCCTGCATTTGGGCTCCTACTCAACCACACCTGATACTGCGCAAACTGCTCCATACTCACACCACCTTGCGTAGTCAAGTGGTGGGCGTGTCCTGCTTTCCGGAACCGGTGCACCGAAGTACGTCACTGAGTATACGTGACGTCCCTTCCTCCCTGGGGATCACCTGACCAGAGCCTCCCTCTCGACCACTGAAACTGGCGCCCGACATGCAGGAGGCCCCATCCGACCAGTAAGCAAACTGCCACAGACCCATGTTTCCCCCGAGGAGGGGGAGCAAGAGACTACTGGGGATTCCCTTCAGACGGGGAGGTAACCCAGGCCTGACCCAATCTCCCTCCACAATTCAGGCTCCGTGGTCCCCCGGCGAGTACTACAGCCCGCAGGCCCTCCTCACCAAGGCAGTCGCGTTCTTCAAGCAACTACACGTTGTGCTCAGGCCCCCAAAACATCCGGCCAGCAACCGTACCGAGATGACCACCTCAAGTGCTGCTGCACTGATCACGGGGTACACAATAGGCCTCACCAGCCACCGACTGCACCCTAAGGGGCCCCCGTCTGGAGCCTCTCACACCGAGGATGATTGTTGTCCTCCGATTATGAAGAGGAACCATGGTGTGAACAATCGGATGGGGGTCTGGCGGGGAACCCCTGTATGCGCTGCAGCAGGTCTCTGTCCCTGGGGTAGGTCCCCATGCATATCAGGGAGAGGCCCTGCTTCCAAAATGGCCCACAAAAATATAAACATTATGTTCCTGGGTAGCCGGAGGAAACGCACAAACAAAAAAACTGGAGTTAGGGTATCAGGAAGTGTTTTTTTAAATCTAATGTGCATTATGTGTTTCCTGTTGTAGGCAGGCGGAACATACTCATTGGCTGTCCTGGAGGATGACTGTTGAACTACTGATTGTTGTGAAGGGCAAATTCTGACCCTGCTCTTTAGTTTTTGATGAGTTTAATACTAGGGATTTTGTCCAACATTAATCTAAAGATGAAGAGGGAAGGTAATGTCAGACAACTTCCACCATATTTATAATATTTGCCCTTTGCCTATCTGCAGCTTGCACTTTCACCAAGTATTATTGTATTGCCTTTTCCTCTCCAGAAAATGTTTTATTCACATGCAGTTTGTTTTTGAAATTGCTAGGAAATTTGACTTGGATATTTTCATCTGGCCGTAAGTTCCACTATCGGGGAAGGTATCGGAGCATTTGGGTGAGTACGAGTACTTGCCCAAATACTCGGTATCGGCACTGATACTAGTATCGGTGCATCCCTAATCAAAACATATTTTACTGTGCTAAATAGCGCTTCTCACTGGTCAGCGCAGTCATCTGACCACGTTGACCAATGAGTGCTTGCAATTTGCGAGCGAAATTCAAAATGCATAGGGGAGGACTGCGCTGGACAGCAGTACGGGGGACAGATAGTACACCCATACTGGCGGAGGGGAGGGATTGTTCGCCGCAACGTAAGTATAGCCAGGGGGGTGGCGGTTTGGGAGAGACAGGGCCAGATTTTAATCGGGTAATTTTTATTTTTTCATATTACCTGGGAAAATGAACTTAACCTTTAATGCACATTATGTGTGTGCAAGAGAATTCTGGCTACCACCATGGAATGGCAGCTGCAATCTCAAAGCACATGCAGAATGTCCTACGCATGCGTTTATTTGCATGCAGATGGTGGAGGCAGCAGGGTTTCATTTTTTTTTTTACTTTTTCATTTTTTAAATCTTTATATATTTTATTTTTTTAACTTTTTAATTTTTCTTTAAACTTTTTATTTATTTACTTTTTCCCCTTAATGTTCTTCCTATTACATAGGAGATTAAAATCCCTTATGTGATAGTTTGGAGGTGACAGGTTCTCTTTATGGAACCTGCCCTCCAAAACAGGAACTACACAGAACAGCTGTTCTGACAGCCGAGACAGGTGGCGCTGTGATTACAGCGCCACGGTCTCAGAGAACACACAGAGAGCCCGTAGAGCAGACGTTTTTCGTCTGCTCTATGGGCTCTATGGCTGAGCCGTTGTGCCTTAGTTTTCGGGGTCCCCGGGAAGAGCGGGCGACCCCGAAAACTGCGGCGGGGGTGCCGGCAGAAACGATCGCGGCGGCTCCACAATGTACATTCAGCTCTGCTTGTCCGGAGCCGGGCTGAATGTACTTTAAAACTACTCGCCCGGCACCCGAAACTGCATGTCCCGGGCGTCGGGCGATAGGAATTCCACACCCCTGTACACAACATGCACAAGGAAGTTAAACACACATATAAACTTATGGGAATATTTATTTTTCAAAATGGATTGCCCGGTGACGGGGTTTATTTAACCCTTTCTCTACCTTGGATGTATGTACTATGTTCATGGCAGCGGGGTGATTGTCGAGGTTTTTACTCTTGCTTTCTAGTGGAATTAGTTTAAAAGCCCTTAGAACTGCTGCCTAAAGTCCAGGCAGGATGTGAACCACTAAACAAAAAACATTTAAATCCCAGATGTTTTGCTTTTATTTTGACAAGTGTTGTCAGGTAAAATATATTTGTTTAATAAAGCATGGTACTTTGTAACCATTTCAAAGATTTAATTTCAAGATCAATCTGACATGAAACTGGCAATAAATAAACCAGACATAAAAGTACTGAGACTTGACATAATGATAAATGATTTCTAAAGAAAAAAAAATGGTTGAACAGATAACTCGCTTAGTGAAAATGTTGGTGAACATTGTTTTAACTGCTGCAGATGTATGCAATTAATACATCAGAATGGTCAATCAGTTTGGGAAGTAAGTCTATGTAAAATGTCAAGAAAGGGTCAGATGTGTGTCTAGTTCAAAAGCTCTTTCATGCGATTGAGAGCGCTGCCAGCTTGGAACCATTCAATCTGTGTCTCATTAAAGGTGTGATTTAAGTAGATTGTCTCTTGGCTACCATTCTGATGGGTAATGATGCATTTGACAGGCTGCAGAAAGGGAGGAGAAAAAAGACAAACATATTAATGGCAAAAAATAACTAATGCACAGAAACAAGAACGCTAGTGACAAAACAGGAATATCACCCCCCAGCACCCCAAAAAAAAACAAAAACAATTCTTGCATACCTCTAAGATACTTCCTCTACTAAACAAAATTACTTGTTTGGGCATATACAGTATTTCTAGTCCAATATTCATATAGTATAAAACGTGTCAAAACTAAATCGTGTAAACTTCTTAAAAATTAGGCAGTAGGTAATTACTGATAATTGGACCGTAGGGCTACATCCCTTACTGATTATATCTTGGTGTTGCCCCACTCTGTATATACATTCTAATAATGCAGATGTGGTCACCAAGACAAAGAATGTGCCCAAAACTTTGTCCCCCATAACAAATATCCACTGCAGAGGTGTCTATTGTGTCATTTTCATCAAGACTTCTCTTTTATAAGGCAACATTTAACTACTAATGCGGTCATTGGGTGTTCATGTTTAAGACCAAGTTTTGTGAAAATTACCATCCCTGGTGCCAGGTCCTTCAGACCAGCAAGTGCAATCTTGTCCTCGGGGTGAATTTTCTCATAGTCAGCTGCGTCAGAAAAGGTGAGAGGCAGCAGTCCTTGTTTCTTTAGGTTGGTTTCTAAGTTAAAAAACATTTAAATCAAATAAGCTTTATGGTTAATGGGTACTATATCTGAACCATCCCTCCCTCTTGAGAACCATGAATTAAAAAGTTATCTTGAAGTGGTAATTCAAATGTCTGCGCCAGCCTCTATATGGAAAAAGCACAGGTTTCTCACATATATGAAAGTTTCAGGATGACAAATCATCCATGCCAAAGAGCAGTTCTACTTCAAAGAAGTGTGTACTGGAAGCTGGCTGTTGTATTGCAAGTTCAGGTAGGAAGACTCAGAACTAGAACAAACTTAATTTCTTTACCAGATCATGGTTTCAGGCAGAAACCTCTTTAAACCATGGGGCGTTAAACCCCCCTCCTGGCCAGGGTATTTTTCAGTATTCAGTGCTGACATTTATTCAGTTATGCAACGCTGTACTAAAATGGAATTGGTCATTTTTGGGGACACAAAAGCTTTATTTTGGTGGTATTTAAATCACCACTGGGGTTATTTTTTACTATACAACAAAAGAATTACCAAAAATATTGAAAACAAAATACAAAACAGTTTTCCCTACATTATGTTATGAAACAGTATTACCCAAATTTTTGGTAAAATATAAAAGATGGGGGTCAAGTCGGGTATATAGACACCAAACATGTCGAGCTTTAAAACTGCCGGGAGGCGGGTCATAACGTGTGTCCCGGCTTCCTTTATTGGAAGCTGGCTTCACGTGTTGCTAAGCAGCCTGGCTTTCTAACCAATCAGAAATCACGTAATGACCCGCCTCCCCGATTGGCCAGGAAGCCAGGCTGCCCAGGAACAAGTAATTCCAGCTTCCTAACCAATCAGGAAGCCGGGAGGCAGATCATGACTCGCCACCCGGCTTCCTGATTGGTCAGGAAGCTAGGCAGCCTCTGAAGCCAGTGATCTTTCGCTAGAACACCAGCTTCACAGGCAATCAGGAAGCCGGGCAACAGGCCATGATCCGCCGCCCAACTTCCTGATGATCTGGTGACAAGGTGCTCTGTATCGTCAAGTACCAAAAAAAAAAATAGCGGTACTCATACTCTATACTGAAAAACCAGTATCTGTGCATCCCTATTTATAATAGTTTGTCAAAGCTTCCTAGAACCAGAGATCAATTCGAGTCCAACTCACCATGAATTCTTGCAAAGCTCTTTGTAATGATGGCTCTGCCACCCAAGTGCCGTGGTTCAAGGGCAGCATGCTCTCTGCTAGAGCCCTCTCCATAGTTGTCATCTCCTATTACAATCCATTTTATTCCATTTGCCTACAGCAAATATAGAAAAAGAAACCAGGAAGAGTGAATCTTTTTTTTTATTAATTCCTTTTTATGAATTTCTTTTGACAATTAGCAATAATAATTTACAACCACATAATGTAATTTACAACATGATTATACATCCACATACATGCAACTCACATTTAAGACACTGCTATTTTCACAACTTAGTCCATATTTTTAACATTTACATTTCATGGTCAACCCTGAACGATCTTCATATTATATTTACCAAATCTTAGATTAGCTTCCCACATAGCCTAACTCCCTTTACACTCCCCATTTATATCGTGATATTTTCTACCTCCGTATTTAGTGTTTCATATTAATTCATTTTGTATATTATTTAGGTGTTTACTCCCGTATTATGAAGAAAAAAACAAAAAACACTCCCTACTACATCTCTAAGGCATGTCGTAATTGCAAAAATTTAAAGAAATGAGAATTGGGGATACCAAACTCTTCCCTCAAAGTTCGAAATGTCTTCATGTCATCACCTTCCATCAATTGTTTAACATTGTAAACCTTTATCCATACAGGTATCAAAGTCTGCCAATTCTATCAATTCCAGATTGTACCAAATAGGTGTAAGGGAAGTACAGTACACCCCTCATATCCCATGACCTCCTTCATAACTTTCCATACCCTGGCCATCAATGAAAATGTACAATATACCGACCATGTAGAAATAATACTTACATGTAACAGCTTCTAACTGTGATATAATAAGAGTATCTAGAGAATACCGAAAGTATAATTGCCTGGACCGGATCTTCCCATATTTTTCCCCCCCATCCCGCCATTTGTTATAATTGTGCTGCTAAAAAGTACATTCTTGGGTGGGGAATGGCAATTCCCCCCCCATCATTCGGTAACTGCAAAGTTGTTAATGCTATTCGGGGATGTTTTTTTTCCCATATTAAATTCCTATATATTGTGTCTATTTTAATGAACCATTGCATTGTTATCCATATAGGGGAATTATGTAATATATATATAATAATTGCGGGCACCATATAATTTTAATTAAATTAGCTCTTCCGATCACCGTGAGTGGAAGCTTATTCCAACTGTTACATTTTTGTTTTAATCTTGAGCCGTTACTGCATAGATTTAGAGTAATATAGTCCGTGGCTCGTGCTAATATCACTACCCCCAGATATTTAAATTTTCTACTACTTGAATTTGGGAGGCATTTACCGGAATTTGATATGCCATAGGGTCTAGGGGGTAACATCACCGACTTTTACCAATTGATTTTAATCCCGGAGTATATCCCAAACTGTGTAATTAAGGACATTAATGCCGGAAGGGAATACCCTGTTTCCCCAAAAAATAAAAGTGCGTCATCTGCGTATAGCGCTATCTTATCTTCCCTTTCACCCCATGCGAAACCCTACTATATCTCTAGCCTGTCTTATTGCTATCACCAATGGTTCCATTGCTAAGGCAAAAAGCATCGGCGATAGTGGGCACCCCTGTCTCGTCCCTCTGTACAAAGCAAAGGATTTTGAACAGCAATTATTTAGGCGTATGTGTGCCTTAGGTGCATGGTACATTAACTGAACCCACTTAATGAATGTCTGCCCAATACAGTCCATAGGTATGACCACTCGACTGTATCGAATGCCTTGGCTGCATCCAGTGATAAAATAATCCTACTACCTGGGTTATCGACTGGGACCTGCATATTAAGAAACAGCCTTCTGATGTTTATCGCCGTCGATCTCGCAGGAATAAATCCAGATTGATCCACGTGTATAATCTTAGCTATAGTCCTCGACAGCCTATTGGCCAATACTTTCGCCAAAAGCTTAATATCTGAATTCAGATTCAGAATTATGGAAGAGTGAATCTTCATCAAGATTTTAGAGCTTAGCAACTGTTGAACTCCAAACCAAAATATATTCTTACACAAATGCCCTTCAATTATTAAAAATAGAAAGAAAAACAACAAACACACTACTCCAGTAGTTAAATATCCCTATAATGTTGGGTTTTATTGTACATCACGTAGAGAAACGTGTGGGATTATTATTACCCATGACCTAATGTTAGTATAATATATGAAAGCATACATCTTTTGTACATTGTGCAACTCCTCTCAGCAACATAACCACAGCATATGAATAACTAAATGTGCTGAGGTACAACAAAGAGCAATAAAAAAAAATATCAGTGACTCAAACAAATGTCAGTGAATAAAAATCAATCAGGTATAAAGTCTTTACATTTTCATAACTCTAAAAATATCCATATATAGCAATAGTGATGAATATTCTTGTTCCTTCACCAAATGAACCACACCAGCTATAGGGGAGCTCACCTTATTGATAGACCCCCAACAAAAGGTCAAATCAGGCAATTCCGTTCTTAACCTGGGGAGGGGGCCCTCAGCTCCAATCGCTCACTGCTGGTCTGATTACACCATTGGAGGACATCTGTGCATTCATTCAAATACATGATTGAAGACAAATAGGACAGCTTAAAAACATATTCCAAATACAAAAAGTTATCCCATGGCATAGCGCCCCCTTGGATCACACAAATACATTTTATAATGTAGCCTGGACTCACTGCACATTATTAATCCATGGAGCCTGGACTCACTACACATTAATCCATGAAACAAAGAGAAATTATATGACTTAAAAAACACTTTAGTATTGATATTATAAAGAGTAAAGCAAATTTTAGGAAATCCAAGATTATATCAAATGTATTTGTGTGATCCAGGGGGGCGCTAAGACATGGGATAACTTTTTGTATTTGGAATGTTTTTAAGCTGTCCTATTTGTCTTCAATCATGTATTTTAACCGCTTGAAGACCAGGTGTTTACACCCCCTTCCTGGCCAGGCCATTTTTCAGTATTCAGCAATGCAGTAGTTAGACTGACATTTATTCCGTCATGCAACGCTGTACTGAAATTAATTTTATACCATTTTTTGGGGACAGATAAGAGATTTCTTTTGGTGTTATTTAATCACCACCGTGGGTTTTATTTTTTACTTTATTTAGGAAATTTTTTTTAACATTATGTTAGGAAACAATTATTATTACCCAATTTTTTGGTAAAATATACAAGACCGGGTCATGTCGCGTAAATAGACACCAAACATGTCGAGCTTAAAAAATGCTCGCACCCGCGAAATTGCAAAAAACTACCATACCCAAAATTGACCATAGGCGGCGCTTTAAAAGCTTTTACAGATCATCAGTTTAGTGTTATCAGTGATTAATGATCCTAAAATTATTGCTCTCACTGCGATATTTGCGGCGATATGCAACATGTGCGGCGCAATTGTCCTTTTCGCAGGCATGTGCACCTGACGCATGTTTGCATGCATGTATGGGTGGGGACTTAATGCTTTATGTGTAACTTAAACATTTTTTTGGGAAACCTTAAATTGTGTTTCCTAGATTTGTTTTTTTCTCTTTTTCACACGGGCCGGCATCTTATACAAGCCATCTGCCGGCTCTATAGCAGGCGGATCGCTTGTACGTTAACAAATTTTGTCTTTCCTGCTCACGCGGCTAACAGGCCGTATATACACGGCTTGTTACATCCAGGAAGCGGCCGGCCGTTTTTTTTTACAACGGACGGCCGGGAAGCGGTTAATTAATAAAATGTATAAATCACAAATTGCATATGGTTAAAAGGAGAACTATGGGGTCAGTGTTTTTCCCCATAGTTCTCCTTAGGGTAACTTTTCTTATCTGTCAATTAAAGAGGACCTTTACCCATATCTTCAAAATATCAAAAGGCCCCTTTAGAAAGGTTTAGTAATTGCAATCTACAAACAAACAGATACTTAGATAATTGCTGGTTTGTTATTCTTCACATACTTTGTTTTTCTTTTCCTCTCCATTCTTCTCACAGTGGCCATTTTAACCACTTGCTGACTGGGGTGTTAATCCCCCTTCCTGTCCAGGCCATTTTTCAGTATTCAGTGCTGTGGTACTTTGACGGACATTTATTCAATCATGCAACGCTGTACTGAAATAACTTTTACATTATTTTTGAGGACACAGCGCTTTAATTTGGTGGTATTTAATTACCACAAGGGTTTTTTTATTTTTTACTACAGAACGAAAAAAGTTTCCAAAAAAAAACCAACAAAAAAGCAAACCACCCGCAAAAAATTACCATGCCTAAAAATGGCCATAGGCGACACTTTCAAATGTTTTACCGCGCATCAGTTTAGTGTTTGTGATTAATGGCCCCAAAATTATTGCTCACACTCCCACGTTTGCTCCGATGTGACGTGTGGCGTAATCTTTTTCACATATAGGCACACCCGATGCGCCCCCTATGTGATAGCCAATATACAATGAAAGGTCCTCTTTATGGAGACATCAGGGGTCTCTAATGTCACTTTGGGACCCCCAAAGAAGCTGATGAGGCACAGATCTGCTTCACCGGCTTCTTCTTTGGCTATAGCAGCTAGAGAAATGACAGCTAAAGGCGGAAGCAATGTAATACATAACACTTCTGCCTTTAGAGAGAGAGGAGGAAAGATCAGCAGTGGGGAAATGTTCTCAGGGCTAGAAGCCACTGTGCCGGTCCGGGATAAACGGCAGCAGAGGGGTTGGCGCGGCAGCAGAGGTGGGGGGCGTACTGTGCGATGTCATACAAGCGATCGCTTGTATACGACAGCCGATGCCGGTTTTTAGATTCCTGGAGGGATTCTGCTCAGGGGTGCACGAGCAGAACCCACCCCCCCAACACACACAAAAAAACCGCCGGCAAGCGATTAATTAAGGGCAGATTAATCCTTCTCCCTTTACTTCCTGGAACATGCGACTAGGACATGTAACCACACGCATTCTCAGGAGGGAAAATGCCTTTCCCTGAGATCTTGTGAGATTGCAGATGAGATTTCCCAGTAATGCACTTATTTCATATCAGCATGCAGAGCTGCATGCTGATGTGATTTTTAACCATAAAGGGTAAAAGGTCTGCTTTAAGGCCTAAGAGGCCAAAAAT